GATGCTTTTCAGTTTTCAAGATAAATAAATGATTCATAGATTCATTTAGCACTAAGATGATTTCAGATATTCTACAATCTAGTAAATGACTAAACAAATCATGGATCAATAGAACACTGAATCACTTTCTACAATAAACGATACTCATGAAACAAATAGAATGAAAGATCATCGAATTTTCTCCGAATAATTTTTCCTTAAAGTATCAGAATGTATTAAGATTGCCAATAATATTCGTACTGATGTAAGATTTCATATTGTATATATCATAATAAATAAAACTCATATTTATTGTAGTATGAAATAGATATTTTAGAAACTAATGGTAGTTTTGAAATAACAGACAAAGTTATTAATCATCTTGATTCTTTCTTATCAATATATTAACAAAATGTTAATCAAAACAATAACAATATTGATAGTATTCTCAATTTATCTGAAGAAAACGATGATTTCAAAAAATCTAATTTATTTGATAACTATTCTAATTCTATCATGTTATCGAATAATAATAATGAAATCATAAAAATAGAACAATTTCCATCAGAAGATATTCATTGTATAGCAATAAAATTACTAACAATAGTTGAAATGCAACTTAGAAATAATCAATTTCTCAGAAATGTTATTCATAATTATAGACATCATGAACGATATTTAAATTTATCTAAAAAGAATAAAATATCGTCAATAAAAGCGATAGACAAACAAGAAGATATTCTTGTGATTGAAGCTAAATCTTTATGTCCTATGGAATCAAATGATACATTTGATTCATGATAAGTTATTCTATCAAAAACTAAAGAAAATTTTACAAAACTAATGAATCAAATTTATCATCAATATAAAAATCATAAAGTATGTATGTATGTCAAAACTCTCAATATGCTAGGATGAGTCTATGAAAGTAGGTCCTAAATTTAAGTCGATAAAAAGAACTACACTAGATTTTTCGAAAACAAAAAATTGTAGTGATGATATGCAACATTGTCCAGCTCATTGATAACTTTGATTTGTTTAAACTAATGAATAGATTTTTATTATCATAATTTCAAATAGAAAACAGATAAATTAATTGCTGATATTGAAGGTATACTTAAAATTATAATTAATGAAGAAATCACATGTGAATATTTGCAAAATTAAATAAAAATAAATAATCAAAAAAATTAAGAAAAATCAAAATCAAAAAATTCAAATATTACCATATGAAAATACATATCGACAATTCTATTATCCCAATCAATTTATACCAATCGAACAAGCAATGATTAATAAAATTAATATATGGTGTACAAGCTATGCAAGCAGCATTGACTAATACAGTAAATAGAAAAATCAATTTTAATTTATTTCCATATCTTAACTAAAAAAATAGAGACAATAAAATAATTTAGAATTTAGAAAAATATTGAAGATGTTTTAAAGGGTATTGTTATGTTAACTGATCAATCAACTTCTTCATTTTCAGATCAAACAAATAATAAAATAGCTAATGAACTCATGAATGCAACACAAAGTAAGAAACATGTATAAATATATTTTGTTTCTCAGAACGCTTCTTTTTAATACAAGAACAAGGTTATACAATCAATCGTGAACGAATGCATGTTCGTATGGCATTAGATTTAATTTTAGTTGATAATCGTTTAAATGGTAAAACAATGATATTTCAAGCAGAATCAATTATTTTATCTCGTATGGTTCGAAAAATCTATCTGTGTACACAAGTATGAACTTTATGTTCATATGGTGATGTAATTACAATAATTAATGATACTGATTATCATCAAATACGTTTTCGTACATATAAACGAATGTCATTATCATTAGATGAATTTATTGAAATTCTCGGTGAAATGTATCATACATCTTATGATACAATTGAAACAATAAAATATTATTTAGATGCAAATGATATTATTGATTTTGATACAAATCTTATTCATTCATCAATATTAACGTCAAAACAAATAGATGATATGATTAAATATATTGTAGTGAAGATGCTATACGATAATTATTAAAATTAATATTTAATCGAACATGTAATAGTGATAGTCGTATTGATGAGGAATTTAAATTAAATCTTCCAATGAAATTGAATGATTTATATCAAACAATTAAAAAATTAAATGGTTTCAGTAAGTTAAATGGAGAATAAATGAAAATTCAAGGATTTGAATTTAGTATGCTTATAGTAGTGATTAAATTTTTGTTTCTGTATTAGAAATTTGTCAAAGATTTCTATTAATGTTATTTGAAATCGATTTTCATATCAGCTATGATAAATTTTAGTTGATCTTTAGATTCTATCTATAATGAACAGAATATTGTCAGTAGCATCTAATAAAAGAATAATAAATATCAAGAGTCAATAGTAAACTTCATTATCAGACATCAAGTAATGTCATAATATCATATTTGAAGCTTATACGAAATATTCTTAAATCTTAATAACTTTTAGAATTAGTAAGATGACTTCGATTTGTTCGCCCAATTATAAAGACCTTTTTCTGAAACATGATCTCAAAAGAATTGCGAAAGTATACAAGTTAGAAATTTAGATCTCTCTCTTCACAGACTCTAATCGACAGTAGAGCTGATTGTAGAAAAGTCGAAAGAGAAGAATATCGAAACTAGATACGTATTGAAAAAAGTAATATTTCCATGGCATGAATGAGTGTAGATGAAGAGAAGACCAGAAATCATGCTCATGTTTGTACGCCAAAAATTATGTCCTGTAAGTTACCATATATCAATAACGTTTTATAATCTACTTTCTTATTGATTTAAAAGTGTCTACTACTCAAGTAATGGCAGCTCTTAGAAAACCCTACTTATATGGTTGTTACCAGAAAATTTTGATGCATTAATTTCGGAGAATACAATTACATCAGAAACATTAGATCAATTCTATATTGATTTTAATGCAAAAGAAGATATTGATGAACGATTAAATAAAGTAAATTAAAAAAAGCCTTTTAAAATTTTTTAATTTCTATTTAAATAAAATTTCCAAAAAAAGATTTGTAAAAAAATTCAAGATCATTTAAATTTACATAGTTGTATAACACGTGTTGTACTTAAAATGATTGCTGAACATTTCAATGGTACAATACTTATACCATTTCTTAATGAATTTAATAAAATTCCACGTTTTATATCAATTATTGATATATTTGATGATTTAATAACATCAGGTCTTATATCAACAATTGAACTTCTTGTTTTATCTAAATAAGATATTATTATTAAAAAATCATCTTTATTAAAACATTTTGAATCTATATCATTTTTTCATAAACGTGATGCTGATTTACTTTAGTTATACGTGAAGATGATTTAATTGAATATTTAACAAAACATGCAATGGCAATCAAAGGAATTTATACTAATTCTCCATTAAATAATGATGAACGTCGAAATCTTATTACAAAAATCTTATTGAATCAACAAAAAGATTATCATCGTTATCTATTCATGGTAAATGTTTGAATATTCATAATAATAAATACATAAAAATGAAAATATAGTTAAAACATTAATGGAAACAAAAAGTTTTGTTAATGAATAGATACTTGATGGAATCTACAATAATTTTCTAAGGAGACTTCTTGATACATTAGGTTAGAAAACAAATATTTAAACAAAAAAAAACGATACTCAAGAAATTCTCAGAACATTGTAGTAAAACTTTATCTATAGCTATAAAAAAAAATAAAATCAATGAGATAGAAAACTCGTAACATCGGTATTTATGGAATTGAAAAAGCGTGTTTATCATAATGATCAACAAAGAGAACTCGATGTTTGACTAAAGATAGAGTCTAATGATATACCTGAAAATTTTAGAACTTTCGCTCATGCTGTAGTTCATCGTTATTCTAGGAACTGTTGAGTAATGTTAAATCTCAATTTCGACAAGCTTTCGTTTAATATCATTAGCAGTTTTCCTTGATTAAGAACACATTGTAGGAATATCAAGTGCTAAAAAGTCTTTTAGAAAACCATGAAAAGAAAATAAATAAACAATTTTTTTTTCGTATAATAGAATTAGATATTTATTATATATCTATGGAAAATTTAAAAAATTCTGATCAACAAGACTAATATTTAACAATTAAACAACGAAATACTAATGATAATATTCATAAAATTATTAGTGAAAATTATTGTAAACTTGGTTGTTCTTTAACTTATAAAAAAGCTTCTATTCTTGTTGATTATGCTGATCCAAAATATGAACATGAACTTTCATCTTTAATTACAATACATGATATTATTTCACAAGAACGTTTTAAAACTTTATTAAAATTAACGAATAATAAAATTAATTTTGAAGAACTTTCTACAATTATTCTTCCAAAACAACAAGTGTAAATCACTATAGATTTAAAAAGTTTTTTTTCCCTTAATTAGAAAATCAAATATTTTTTTGTAGAATTGAATGTAAAACTTTGCTTGATTCATTTCATCAACGTATTAATTATCGACAAAAACGTTTTAAACGCATTGAAAATTTACAAAAACTTCTTCTTTCATCCATATTAATTGAAAAATTTCTAGAAATGATTTCAGACTTAGGTATAGAATATTTTACTCATATTATTTCTAACAGTTAGTTATGATATATATTACAGAGTATTTTAAGGAGAAGGATGTTTTTCTATTCCTTACAACATGCTTCTGAAATTAGCCACTTTGTATAGTACCTTCAACCATCTGAATTTGACAATATCTTTCAGGTTGACTTACATATAACAGAAGTCATAAGGTTTGCAAAAATAGATTTTTTCTTCTTAAAAAATCATTCACTAAGTGTGCCTTTATGAGGTAACATATTTTTCTTTTAGAAGAAATGACGTTTTATTGAAGACAGAGGTAAGAAAAAACAAATTTTAATTCTAAAATTTAGACATACTGATTAATCTTGTTTTTATAATTCTTCAATACAACGTCCCACTATCCTGTAATGTAGAGACTAAATACTTGGAGAGTAGGCACTTGCACATAGAAAATTTCATTGGAAACTAATGATGCTATAGCGGATAATTTAACGTTTTATGAAGTCTGCATTTTTCATACTATACTACATTCAACTGTCAAACCGCTGGGAGGTACTCTCTACAGTCTAATCAAATTTGAGAGCATGTTGTAGAAGGAAAAACTTTCCCTTATATAACACAAACAAAAATTTCGTTTTTGTTTTCTTAGTGTCACCTAATCATTTACATATTCTCGAACCAATTATTGAAAAATATTCTATATTTTTAAAAACAATTATTATTAGAATTATTTCAAATAAAGAACATTGTGAGAAAGTCAATGAAATTTTATTATCCAATACGGATTATTATTTATCAACAGAAGAAGTTCTTAAAATTTGTGCTTATGAACAAATATTAGATATAAATGATCAATTGCATCATCAACAAAAATCATCAATTGATATAAGTGTAGAAAATACAAAAGAAGAATCTAATAAGAAATCTTTAATTTTGAATATCAATGAACAAGATGCTGATCGTAAAAGTGCAGGAGTAAATCTTAGCAGAAGTAAACCTAAAATTATAACTAATTTTTACTAAACATCTAACTGTTGATTTGTAACGAAGAGAAACCTATGAGAAATATCAGAAATGAAAAATGTTATATTAGTAATACTAGACCTTTTACAAGCACAATCACAGTGATTCTTCTTTTGTTCCTCCTGTCGTACAATTCTCATTGTCCGCAATCTTATGCCTTTTAGAGCATGTCGATTTCAAAATTTTTGAACCCAGATCGGTTTTCGGGACCAATTTGATGGGCTCTAATCTAGACTTTCAATATAATCTAAATTTCTGATTTTTTAAACGTAGATTTGAAAATTAGTAATAATTTTAGATTGTTTATTTGTTTTAGTGACAAGATTAGATTTACGAGAAACTAGTCTTACACTTCAATCCATACTTGATTGTTATACTCTAAGTATGTCTATGTATACTCATGATTCTGTTCTTCGACATAAAATAGAACAAACAATCATAATAACTATATTTGATTATATTCTTCATTTTAATCATCGAACTATGATCAATGAACAATTAAGAAAATTATTTAATGGATTTAAACCTTTGGCTGTTTATAAAGCTCAATTATTAATTGAAAAAGAATTGATAGTTATTAAATTATTATTAAACATACGTAAACAACAAGCATCATTAACAAATGGTGATCTGCATAGATATCTTGAATCATATCCAATACCATGTCGATTATGAGTTGACTTTCTTTTATTTTATAAAACACGATCTGAAAGGGATGTTGTTGTATATAGTGATTAAATTTTTTGTTAAAAACTTTGAATGAAAACCAGAAAGTTGGTTTTGATAGGTCTTGATTTTCCACAGACCTTTATCCAAATATTTTTACTGAACTCGTTGTACTTCATAATTTTGATAGAGAATCCTTTTAGTTATACAAATGTGTTTTTAGAGTCTTGTTAGTTACTACCATCGAGAAAAGGACTTCAAATGTCTCATTATAATATATGAACTTGCTTTGATTAGCAAAAGAAAACTACATCATGTTTCTCGATTTAATCTCTAATGGATTGCGCTAACAACTTTTTCAATTAATATTACAATAAAGAAATTATTCTATTCAGAAATATAGTCAATGAATTACGTGGTTCAAAAATCATTTCACAATCTCTTGCTAATATAACTGCACCTGAAGCTCAAGCTATATTTCTTATCGATATGATGATTAAATTAATTCAAAAAGAAGGTTATATTGATGAAATTCATACAAGAGAAATTCTTAATTAATATCAAACAAATACTGAAAAAGAAAAATTTAATATTATTTATTAACATATTCTACGTCATGGTTTTTTTACTATTGAACAAATAATTCAATCAACGAAAGATTTTTTTCTACAAGATGTAAATAATTTTCTATTAAATAAATTGAAAAAAAAAACATGTATATCGTTGATTTTAATTTAGTATCTTAATGAAGATATACTTAAAAATCAATCAAGTGAATAAAACTGTCATTCAAGAACAATTTTTAATTAATATACTTGATCGTAAACAATTAAGTAATATACAATTTGAATTAGCACTTAATCAAAATATGCATCGATGTCAAGTTATTCAAACAAATATATTAAGTGATCAAATAAAAAATGCTAAAATAGTAAAAGAAAAAGTTCAACGAAAAGTTGATCATGCTCTTTTAAAAATAGATGAAAATATACAATCATTTTCTAAACCAACACAAATATTATCTCGTTTAACATATAATAGTCTTGTTAAACAATATAAATCTCTAATTGAAAGTAATCAAGAATTATTAATCATAGATAAAAATATAAACAATGAATTATTACCAAATTTACGTTCATTACGTCATAATTAAATACAAACTAAAATACCACGAAATCAATTACATTTATTAGTTGAACAAGGGTGTGGGTGTGGGTGTTCATTAGATCTTATACGACATATAACATATAATATATCATTATTAATTAAAGAAAATGGTTCAATTGCTGAAAAACCATTAATGAAACATTTTCAGCAACAACAAATTTTATTTCATGTAGATTTTCAATTATTACTTATTCGTTATGATATGATAGCATTAGAAGATCTTATGGTTCTATTAATTGTTAGTAAATTAGCTAAACCTAATGAAATTAAATCTTATGCCAAAACAATATTCCGTCTTAATGTAAATATAAATATGCTCATTTGTTATATTTATTTTTCAGTAAAATATTGAATCATTTTACTCTATTAGTTATTAATTATGAGTATGTCATATTAATCAGATATCATTTATCTTGTAATTGCCAAAAGATAATATGGTATAACTCAAGTAAATATCACATGAATACATATCTAACTATTAAACTGCTTCTATTGTTTGAGACTATCATCATTGGATAGTGATTGAACTATGAACAAAGGATCACTGAGAACCTAAATAAGTGAAATTTCAAGCTAATATTTTCTTCATAGACAGACCATATAATTACTAAAATTTCTTTAATATTTGAGCTAGAGTGAACACTTCCTGACTCAGTTATTCACATTTTAAAGAAACAACTATTTTGGACTGTATTTCAAAAATATGATATTATCATACTAAAACTCATCTCTCAATCAAGATAGGTTTGTTCTGGTTCAAACTTTGAGAAATTCCTATTGATAATAAAGCTTATCATTAGATGCATCACATCAATATCTACAAACCTGTATAATCAGGTTTTTGATTTAGTTCTACTGAAGAGTTTGAAAAGAAGGCTATAGTATAAAAACCATTGTTCCGCTTTGTAGATGCAAGTGAGATGTGTCGAATGAGCTCTAGAGTTGCATATTTACAGAATAATGAAAAAGTATCAGGCTTATTAGAAGAAAGTATATGCACCCAGTCTCTGTAAATTGTCTAGTGTTTATGATGGGAAGTCATAAACCAAGACATAATTCAATGAAGTCTTATAATCATTTCTTATTTAGATAAATAAATTTATGGAAATTTCTAAATCACAAGAAAATGCCTTAGTAAAAAAAACATCATGTACAAAATAATTTAGAAAAACAATTATGTACAACAGCAACTGATCTTTTTCAATTACTTTATCATGTTCTTAAACTTGATCGTCTCAAACGAATCATTGATATGATGACAATAATTAAAAACTATATACATTCACATCCAATAAATACATTCAATGCACTCAAACCATTAAAATTAGAATGTAAATATAATAAATAGGATTAATTTATTTAGTTAAAAAAACAAAAAACTTCTATTTCTAGTCGATTTTAATAATTATGATATGAAATTTTTACATGATTTAAAACTTTTAAGTGATATATGGTATAAAAGATATTTATTATCACAAACAAATGAAACAGATCGAATAGTTTCAGAAATAATTGATGAAGAACAAGAACAAGAAGATCAAAATCAACATAAATTTCATTCGGCAATAGATGAAGATTTTGATTTAGATGCATATAATGAATTATTCAAAACTAAAGAATTACAATCAAACATCAGTGAACAGCATAAACAAGATTATCTGTAAAATAAAAATGAATCATTTTCTCTTATTTCTTTTTAGAATTATTTTTTATATAAATATTTTAGTGAAAAACTCAAATTGATTCTTCAAAATTGAAAACATCTACTGATGAAGATTCTTTTCAATTATTAATTAATCTAGATGATTTTTATAAACAACAAGAAATAAAAAAAGATCAAACATATGTTATTGAACAATTCTATCCATAAGCTTCAATACTTGAACCTCAACTTCTTCTACCTTATTTGTCTGGTAATCAAAAATGATTATTTATGGAATTAGATTTTGCTGAAGAACAAAATATTAAAGATTATAACCAACAAGATCAACGCGAAAATGTTACACAACAAATAAATAAATATTCTGATTTAATAGAAAAAGAATTTAGTAAATCGGATATGAATCTAGTGAAATAGACAAACTTTATATTGATGATCAATCAATGAAAACTTCGGAAGAAATACAACAAATAATTGAAGAATCATCAAGTGAAAAACGTTTATCACAAATTAGAACATTATCTCAAACATCGAAAAAAGATCAAATAAGAATCATAGGTGATTCAAAAGTTTGAGATCTTGTCAGTAAATTGATGATATCTATGACAAACCTATACATAATTGATTTATCGAAATATGTAATTTTGCAGAGAAAGATCAGAGCTATCATCTAAAAATAGAATACTTCAAAATGTATAAAAGTAATACAATGTTATGATCATTTTACTAATTTGAAGCAAATATTTTCGTTCTATATTTTTTGAGAAAAAGTTTTTCAATAAAATTTGAATTTAAAATATTGTCTATAGACACTTTTCATAGTCATTGGACAGTTTTGAAACCTTCAACGAAAACGATCATGTCTTCTTCAAGATATTCGATTTTCCAAGTAAATTCGATTACTTTGTCCTCATATTGTAGACGTCTGCTTTCTTTGTTTTGGATATTGAATATCTCGAGAAAGTCAGGTTCATTCCGGTTGAAACTTTCAAGATTACCTCATGATTATGAAACGTGTCTCAAGACAAATTTCAGGTCAAAACTCTTGGTTTTGAACTTTTTCGGACACGCTTTGCTCTGAATAAGAACTTCATTTAAATAGCCACGACTTATTGTTGGTGGACCATGGGCTAGAACCAAGGAAAGCTTGTCTCAGTAGGTATGCACAATCTGCGGGTAAAATGAAAAATTTTCTTCAACGGCCGTTCGCGCAGTCAGATAGATTCTGCATGGCTAAGTTGCTGATATATTAGGGGACACATTCTATACCGTAAATTTCATAAAATAAGACTCTCAATGTGAAAAACTTCAGCAATATGAATAGTTTTATAAAATTATATCCACCGCCTTTGAATTTGATGAATATCATTGAACTAAGAAGATACTCTCTGTAAAAATCTGTTGCAAGTTACATTTCTGCATTTCAAAGTATCTTTTTTCTTCAGATGATATCTCGAATCTTTCTCTTTATAATGATATATTTCAATCAATTAACTATATATAACCTTGCCATGGATAACATCAATTTAGTGAAAGCAATCGAAACTTTTAAATCACTTTTTAGAATCATCTACAATTCAAGATGATATCATCAATAAAAAAGATAAACAATTAGCCGAACATAAACTTCATACATCTTAAAATTTAAATATTAACTTAAGAAAAGTCAACTGAATCTTTTCTACACACAAATGAAAGTTTACAGCGAAAATCGATTTCACCTGTACTGCCAAATATTATTGAAGATCTTTATGCACTTCTTATTGAATCGTAAATTCTTCTTCAACAAAAAAAAATCACTTTTTATTTTTCTTTTTTTAAATAGATTTCAACAAATGACAGACATCGAGCAAATTTCATTAAAAAGAAACCTTCAACTTAGTAAATTAATTTTTTTTCCTTCAAAAACAAACCCTTATTTCAGAAAAAATTTTCACTTCTTACTCATCTATTTACTTCAAAATTATAAAATTTTTTTCAATAACGAATTAATCAAATAGAAAATGTTTTAAACGATCAAAAACATCATCAAGAACTAATTAAATCTGCACATAAATAAATAACTAATGAAATAAATATAGATTCAGAAAAACAAGAAATATTTCATAATTTAAATAATCAATTCTATAAATACAAAAAGTATTTTAATCAAATTCCACAACATGAATACTTTGCAATTCAACCTATATTTCGAACACATCTTGAAGTAGCTATTCGAACACTTGATATAGATTTACAACTAATAGGGCAAATTTTTAATGGTAAAACATTAACAGATATTATTCCTAATAAACCATCAATTATAATAAAAACATCTTTGCAATCTATGACACCGATTGAATTACAAATTGATAAAGATATAACATTGATTCGTAATAATTTATCAACAATAGCTATGAATATGAAAAATTGTCAGAGAATAATTCATGAAAAGAAAATATCACAAGATTTACTAAGAATAGATATGGTAAGTTATTAATATTAGATTGTTTATTACCTGATCGAATACTTATAGAATGATCGTCTTCAAATTATTAAAAATGAATATTTAGAACAGAAAATAAACGAAAAAAATCTACAATCGATAAAAATGACTTTGGACAAATTTGTTGCATTTGATCAACAACAAATAGAATTTATTAATAAATTACAAGATATTTATAATATGTTAAATAAAGAGTGAAATAAAATTCAAAAGAATTTATAAAATATTACAACTGCTCGTTATTATTCTAATCATCTAAATTTTTTATTAAATGCTAAATTAAAATATCTTTCAGTTGATTATTCAGGAAATTTAATAGAACAACCTTTATGTCTTGTTGATGAACATAATATGCCAATTTCAGATGAACTTAATCTTATTAGATTACCATTTGAATCAGATCATTTTCATATTTCAAATGATAAACAAATTGTTGATAAAAATGAAATATCATTATCTGAACCAATTACTTTTAAACAATTGACATTAGAATCGATTAAATTTGAATATGTTGATGATGATCGAAAAACTATTCAAGTTATTGAAATATCATCATCATTCAATATATAAACCTATTAGACTTAATGTAAAATCGATTTCCTTTGATAATTTACCAGCAAATAAACAACCAGCAAGTAAGTTCTCATTCTAAACAGATATTATAGAAAATCATTTTTGTTCTATAAAACTATCGTTTCCATGCTTCTTGTTGCACAAAAATTCAGAAGATTCATAATCACTCAGCCGTCCAACTGTAACCCGTGAAAGACTGTTAATTAATGATAGATCTGTTGAGAATTAAAATATGTAATAAAATTTAGCATCTTTTAATGCATTTTTCACAATGTTTGAAGTAAAACTTCTAACTGTTCAATGAATAAATTACATCAGTTTATTTGAAATTGAATTCTGTATATAACGAGATCACAATAAACTTTTCTGAGAGAAAATCTAAATTTTGCAAACACAAATTTTCACTAACTACCCATAAATACTTCTGTGTACTGATTTCAAGCATTTTACTTCTGAACAATATGAGTAACAGGATGTTATTCATGACATTTTTTTGAAAATCTTAAGTAATGCGTTCCTGGCTCATCAAAAACTTTGATTAGAAGTCAATTGATAAAATTGGGACGACTTTAGATTTTCAAAAAAGTGTCATTCAAATATTTATAAACTAAGAGACGGGTACCTGATTGGAGAAAAGTCTAGAATCACAAAAAAAAGGGATTTTTTACATTTTCGATTTGAAAAATATTATTTAGGTATTTTGAACGGTTTCAACAATATCTTCTAGAGCGCACCGACACGAAACAGGGTCGAAGTCGAATTCAACTCCAGTTTTTAAGAGTCCGTTGGTTTTCATGTTCATGCAATTATGCTTTAGGTCTTCAAGAAAAAAGATATGAAAAGTGTTCTATTTGTTATGCGCTACTTCTTACATCCTTCTGTCCAATCAACTGTATTATAATATGTAATATAACAATCGATCTATATTTTTTTCTAGGTCAAGCATTATTTGTTGTCGATAGTAATGATCAACTACTTGATCATACTTATTATCATTAAATATTTCCGATTGTGATCTTTTGACTTTTTTATACGATGAAAAAACTAATGAACAAATATTACTTACACCTGAACAATATCTGATTACTATTCAACTATCTGATATTGGAATTCAAATACGACATTCAATTGAGAATATAATTTCAAATAGATTAAATTTATTTGATGGAAAACGACGTGAATTATATACATATTTGGAATCCTCTGAAAATAAAAATGAATTTTTCAAAATAATATCCGATGAATATGAATTTATTAATGCTTACATACAAAATCGGCTTGATAAATTAAAAATCGAAGAAAAAATCATAGAACTCATTATACCTATCTTAGGTAAAATAAATTATTTAAAAAAATATATTAACCAAATTCTTTTTTTTTCATAGACAAACAGTATGATGATATTTCAATCGATCAAATTGAATACAAACGCGAACAATCTAATATGGATAATCTTCTTAATACAATGAAATCGAAAAACTCACACAATTGGATCATTAGGAATTCAAAAACTTGAAAATGATCTTATTCAACAATTAACTCAAATATCTATTCAACTTAATGATCCATTAATAATTAAACAAGTTCAAAATCTTACCAATCATATGCAAGATACTCAACTTCTCAATGAACTTCGACCAATTATTCTTTCTGATTAATATTATTTGTTCTTATATTAAATTATATTCTTAATTTATAAATGATTAGGTATTAAAAATCGTGCAAAAAACAATTGAAGAAAAATTTGAAATATTATTAATAAATATTCAAAACAAATCTCATCAATTAAAACAATTAGAACGAATTCGATTTGAATATTTTCAATTTTTATACATACGATTTAATGAAGAAATGAAACGTGAAAAAAATATCGAATATTTATATGATAAAATCGAAAAAATGCAATATGATCTTCATCAAAAAATGGGTATGAGTTATTCTAACGCATGAATATATCTAACTATCAAGCATTGTTCCATTGTATATTATGGTTATGAGTGAGTTTTGATGAGACGAAGAAAAGGTTAAAAGTATTCAGACTTATGATCTACTGATAAAGAGATATAGCTGTTTTAATTAAACTTTTACTAAGAGCAAGACATGTCGTTCTTGACATATTCAATTTCCAATTACACTTAATTACTGTGACCTCTTATGGCATTTTCGGTTTTTTGAAAATGTCTCATTGAATATTTTCATATTAAATAAACAACAATCAATTAAAGATAGATCGGTTTTGTCTCCAAGGGGATCAGTCGATTTGGAATTATAACATTGCTCCTCTTTCTTCCTGAGAAAGGTTCGTAATCTCAGCTTATTACTAAGCAGATAATTCATTTTTACGGTATCTTTTAAATGAATATCGTGTCTCACCCTTTAGAAAAATTTATTTTCCAATTTCTACTGGAATCTTTGTGCATAGACACGTTTTAATGATAGTAGTTTATTATGAAAGATCTCTGTACAAAGTTTGAAGTTGCAATATGAAAACTAGTTATCCGGAGGTGAACCACGGCGTTCATTTAAAAACTACCATAAAAGTTCAATATCTCTGCAATAAAAAGCTAAGATTCGGAACTCTTTGTAGAGTATTCATTGCTTATTTGCATCTACATGATCCACATAATTCAGACACAACAGCAATTACTCAACTGAGAAACTTTCTTTGTAAGCGTGTTCTTAAGAAGTCAAATATCATATATCATTTTTGTGATATATATTTGTTGGATTTATCCTTTGTGAATTAATAATTGTAATAGTTTTGATTTTATTAATAGCTGATTCATTAGAAACGATAGTATTTGAAGATCTTAATAAAATAATAAAGAATGTATATGATATAAATCAAATTGAAATTTCTAATTATTTAAAAACTAAAAATGAAAAATTAATACATATATTTAATATTATTCTTCGATTTCTTCATAATCAATTAAAAATAATTGAACAGTATAAAAAAATATATTTAATGAATTAGAACAATTTCAAATTAAATCAATAGATAATAATGAAAATTTTTATTTTCAACAAATAATTTTTATTAAAAATGAAATAACAATTAATAATCATAAGAAATTATTAAGACTTATTAAAAAAATTGAAAGTTTTATTAAATAAATTAGAAACAATTAATGAAAAAAAATTTACAATGTGATTTTCTTTATTCAAAATTTGATCGATTATATGATATATTAATGAATAATTATCAAATTAATCTTCCTTCTAAAACAAATATTGAATTCATACGTGATACATTACGTAGTAATAAAAAGAACCTCAAGAAAGAAATGCAAGAATT